TGCAGACCCAGTGACCTAGGAACTTGGGCATGATGAAACGGCCACTAGCCACCTTATTGCTATCCCCCTGATACCTTAAACGACTTCCAGGGCTGAACCAGAACCAGTGTTTTCCGGTGGTTATGCTACCTAATGGTATGCTAATTTACTTTCCTTGAACAATGGGAAATAAAACGTGGAGCACACCACCTGTTACGCTTAAAACAGGATAAAGTGATCATACTTGTGCCATCTCTGACAGCCATCTCAAAGCATCGGCAGTTTTCCTTTGTAACCAGGTGTTCTAGCGATTAGCTTGCCTTGCTACATTAGCATATTGTTAAATTTAGTAGAGTCAAGCTAGCGTTTTAGGTGTCTTCCACAAATTCAAATTTAATTCTTCCCCGCTCTAGTAACTCTTTTGGTTTTATTTTTCACTTCGACCTTGGGCCTACTGTTGGTTACAGGAACAGTTGGTCTTTGTTCTGGCTGCATGTTCAACACACTGTTGTTGACGTCTCAAATTTAGCTTAATCTGGTTAGTAGTGACGTTATAGACATGGACAGCACAACAGGTACCAGAGATTAGTAAAGACATTTTAGAAAATGCTAGTTTAATGTCTGTTTAAAAAACAAAAAATCAAAGCAGTATTTACTAAATTGATGGCTAATTATTTTAGAAACAAACTGCCGTTGACCATTAGCCACCATGATTAGCCACTGTGACTAACTGTGGGCGGTCTATGGCACTAATTATCTTATTTCTAAGACCACTACTTCACTGGAAGTTGCACCCATAATCAAATTCTCATTCTGGCTAAAAGTAGAAATGGTTCCTGTCAGAGATTGTTTAGCTGGTTCAGACACGTGAGCGGCAGAAAACAGCATTAACTGCTACAAAACTGAACCGTGGTGTAAGCAGGAAAAAGAAGCATAATTAGGAGCAGGAGCAGGACTGCATTTTAAGTTCTGCAGCGTGGTGGCGTAGTAGAGAAGCACACCATCTGACTTGACAGGAAGGAACTGGCTGTCAAATTCTTGACGAGCAGAGGTTTGGCAGTCATATCGGCTCATCATCAGCTAATCAGGACACTGTGTTCACCGTGTGGCGTGCTCACAATTTTTCCCCATTTAATGCACCACATATGAGAACTAAACCTCCATACTCTAACTCCCACATGCAGTACCACTTACACTATAAAGCATGTCTAATTAGGCTGGGCTAAGAGGCTCCATCCATTAAGGTTTCATGTGTGTGAATATATATATATAGCAGGTAGAACCCTCTTAAAGCTCGTGTATCATTTATTTCGGTTCTCTCCGGACCCAAAGTGGAACATGGCCCAGGAAACGGAAATAAATAAGTCAGTGTGTAAATATACACACATAAAGCACGCCAGTACACTCAGAGAAGGAAGGAAGGCACACACTAACTTTTTTTAATTAGATTAATAAATCAAGGAGTGGGCTGCCTGTGATGGCCAGTGCCATTCCAGTAAGTCTGCACCAAGCCGCTGTGGCAAAGCTGGAGCATAATGATGTAATCACACCACCTCAGTGTGTGTGTGTGTGTGTGTGTGTGTTTGTGTGTGTATGAGGCGAGAGGTTCGGGAGGCAATTCATCTGACATGTTTTCCAAAAACTGCTTTCTCTACAAAACGCTGAGGATGTGTCTGTTTGGTGTGTGTGTGTATTTATGCTCCTATTCCCCTCACTGCATTCATCAGCAGTTGGTGTAGCAGTGGGTGGCCAATGAGGTGTCTGGACACCCCCCTCCCTTCCTGCCCTGACCCCCTCTGCAGTCAAACCGAGCTCCCAGCTTTCCCTTCACACTCTGAATCCCTCCGTACCCCTCGCTGGTGTTTTCTTTCCTTTAAGTTTGACATGCTAATGAAGGTTCCTCTGTCTGCCGTTGGTTGGCAGCTGCTTGTCTGTCTCAGCTCAGATAAACAGCATCATTATTTATATTTTCTTGTTCTCCAATGGCAGAAATAATATGAGGTGTTAATGACAACTCAGCACCGCAGTAAAGGAGTAAAGAATGGTGTGTATTTGGGGGTGTAGTGCTGCACTGCCTGCCTCCAAGCTGTTTGTTTGATAGTATGGTAATATGCATAGTAAGCAGAACTTACTAATTTTACACACACACGCACACTGACTGCATTTTTCGTGCTCACAAGAAACCAGGTTAGTGGGAGAAATTGTGTTAAGACAGGAAATCTGAGAATGTGTTTACCTGAGCTGCAATAACCTGGTTACTGTAAAACCCAAGTTTACATGCAGATGGTCAGTAATCAGATTCCTCCTCTTGTTTTTTTCCAAGGCTGGCATATTCAAAATGAATTACTTGAAGCTGCAGCTTGGACAGTTTTTTTTTTTTTCCCCTTCTTCTCAGCGTGTTAGGACTGATGGCACAGTGTGAGGACAGAGTCTGCAGTGTGAGAGCACACAGTGTTTCCCTACTATTTGCACATACTCGAATTTTACAAATAGTCTGCTGTTCAGCTTTGGAAACCGGCTTTTTTAGACTTACTCTTCTTGGTGTCAATTTAGTTTAGTTGGACTGAGATAAATAAATACATTTTATTTGCTGTTGCAAATGATCCATTTCTTTCATTCCTGGGCTAAATATCCTTCACATTCCTCAGGAAATACTCCTTTTTTGTGTTTTTCCTTTCCAAATATTTCTCATTCTGCATTCATTCATTGTTACCAAGACTGGTAGGTTCCATTTATACCAGTTTGTAGTTATTGCCTTTTTGCAGGTGCTTTGAATTCAGTTGTTTTGAGTACAAGGACACACTGCTAAGACTAAAGATCTTTTCATCTCTTCTGAGTACAACAGTGGAAGCTTTTTTTCCCAGTCTCAAGTCTTTGCCATGCAAAACATTCATCCATCCATTACCGCTTATTTTATTGAGGTGGGCTTGGTCAGATCCCAGGTGACATTGGGCGAAGGCAGGGTACACCTAAACAAGGTCGCCGGAATACACGTAGGCTTATTTTTTACACAGAGACTGTGCTATAAAACTGCTATGAAGTCCCTTCTTTACGCCGCCGCAACAGCGAGGCAGAATAACATCGCAACATTTTCGCTATGAACAGGCAGTATAAAAGGGGCTCTAGACACATAGAGGTGGAGATAAACAACCATTCTTGCTCACATTCACACCTTGAGATAATTTTGAGTCACCATTCAACCTAACCTGTCTGTCTTCTCACTGTGGGAGGAAGTGAGAAGACACGTGAAGAACATGCAAACTCCACACAAAGGGGGCTAAGCTGGAACCATCTCCCTGTGATGTGACTGTGCCACCCCGTCCAGTACATGCAAAACATAATTGCAGCATATAAAATCCCTGTAAGAAACCATGTTGTACACAAGGCCAAGAAACTGAGTTTCCCTAGACAAAATCTAGCTGTGTTAACTGGGCTTCTCTCAATCCCTCAGCCTGATTAAGGAAACCTGGATTCTTGTGTGCTCTAGGTTTAAGAAATTGGTTACTGCAGAAAGCTGACAGTAGACACAGTGACTGTCAGTGTATCTCAGTTTTAATGTTAGAGTTGCAGGACTGTGGACAGTGTATCTGATAAGATTTTATTTCTGCCTCTACATACCCTCCCATGGTATGAATATGTGTGGTTAAAAAATGCTCCATTACTGACAACCCTGGCTTCCCACAAAACCTCCTCCGGGTGGCAGATCAGTGAAAATGGCCTCTAAAAATACCACATCAAATTTCATGTGGGCCACTTTTCTGAACTAGCTGCTGTAATTGCTTCCGAACACTTCATACACTCCCCACACACACACACACACGCACACAGCCACTTGTAAACACTAATAGAGATGCGTGCATAAACATACTGTGCCATACACAAACAAATATACATATTACACAAACACCAGGAAGTGGCTCTCTTGGAGATGCACATACTTAGTGGCGCCACAATCAGCTCCACAATTGCAACTGATGGGTGCAAATCAGGCTGCCACTTACCGCAGTCATTGAACCCATGGAGCACTATCTGATTTCTCCAAATCCCACCATATCGACAGCCGCATTCCCGCCTTGAATCCACCGTAATAGGTCTGCCGGGCATGATATAATGGCTTAATAGGCCATAAAGGCCCGTTGGAAGAGCGGGCTGAATTACTCAAAGCTGTATGTCCCCAGCAGGGTCAAACCAGCGTTAGCAGCGTGGTGCTAATGGGCTAACAGCTAGTTTATTTCTGGTCTCAGTCTCTGAAGGGCATTGGGCTTAACTTCCGTTTTGAGTTGATAGGTTGTGGCATAACATTAGAGCTGAAGTATTGAAGAGAAACCATTCTTTAAAAGCTTTATCTTTCATCTTTATCCCAAGATTAAGTTGCCTGAGGTTTGAATGAGGAGTTTTGGGCTCTACCAAGATGGATTTGTATTCATTGTTCATATGAATCAAGGTTTGAGGTATCTCCTCTAACTGGAACCTAGTGTTTTTAATAATAAACCCCAGTGTAGCTGCAGTAAAGCAATTAATCTCACTTTCTCAAAACAAAAGGCAGCAAAATAATTACCAGAAACACTTTCATTCAGCTACAAACAGCATGAACCCCCCTAAAAATTCCTCAGACTGTGCAAAAGAACACACAGTCATACTTTGCAAAATTGCATCAGACTTTATTTAATTTATACTGACGCATTTATTTAGAAGCTCTGCAGGGGTAGGATGCAAGTGTGTTCATTTACGGCTATTGCCTTAGGAGCTGCTCTCTTTCAGTCGTACCCATTCAAGCCAACATCCCAAACCAAAGCAACATGCTCGCACCTCTGTGGCTGAGGGAATCAAATTGAATTTGAGACCCATTTTACACAATCACAGCTTAAAATGTTCAACCTCTGTGGGGAGTGGGAACTCATATTTTAAATGTAACAGTAAACACATCAATGTCAAAGTGTGATGTAATGAAATGCAACCCAAAGAAATGAACTGTAAATTGAAGTTTGTCTCCATCCCACTCGTGTCTGTGTCTTTGTCAGGAGGCCAGTTGGAGAGTCTGATGGAGACCATGAGAGCAGAGATCGCCGCCCAGCCGCCAGTCGAAGGATCCTACGCTGCACGCCGAGGGGACCACTGCATAGCCAAGTTTGCTGATGGCGAATGGTGAGCTACCTGTGATCATATCTAAAAGCCTTATAACAATCTTAAAAGTATAGTTTGCATTCTTTTAAGTAGGGTTGTGTGAGGTATTTATCCATAGATGACGGTCACTGCGCTGTCCTTTTGGAGAAGCAGGCTGTAGTTTTGCTACGGAAGCTAAGCAATGTACTGCTGTGGATGAGGGCAGCAGCAAAATGAATTTAGGCACCTAAAAAAATCAGTTTAAGTGCAACTATGTTGATAGCATTTTCACTGCTTTACCTTGCCAGTAGACAGCACTGTCCGACAGGAACTGAAGCTGTTAACATGGCTGTCTCTTCAAACTCACCAGTCTCCATTGACAGAAACAGTGCTTTTACCTTATTGAACACAGGAGCTGCTGGTCTACCTCTGCCTCAACCATTTTGTTTGTTTGTGTAACTGTGTGACTTTGATGAGTTTGAACTAACCCTTTAATACCCCACACAAAACTACCCTGGAAATCCAGAGTTCTCGCGAGAGCACAATTTGAATTTGCTCAGAGAGTCACTCTGGCAATCAGTAATGATGCTCATTAACCATGCCCTTGCAACCGAGCTGCACCAATCACATTGGTGTATCTGATATAGGCGGGCCAGAGGTGAGCTAAATAGATGACGACAGCGCTGTGACGACGAAGTCCAGAATCAGTCAGTAAACAATGCAAGATGGCTACGGATGAACACCAGTTGTTTGAAACAGCTTTGGCCGCTACAATGAACGAGTTAGACTTTGCTTTTTCTCTAAAAGAGGAACAGAAGACGGCACTCGAGTCTTTCCTTTGCAAGAAGGACGTTTTTGCTGTTTTGATGACCGGATATGGCAAGAGTCTAATCTACCAGTTAGCTCCACTGGTAGCGCTCTGGATACGTCACCCCGTGTATTGTTCTGATTGGTCGTAGTGTTATCCAATTGCGTGCAGTGATATTTTCAAATGCATGCTTGGTGCCGCCCCTCGAGTTGGGCCATTTTCATTACTCATAGCCAGACCCTAAATCTTTCTAGATTTGGGTCTGGATTTCCAGGCTAATGCAAAACCACAAACAAACACAATTATCAAGTGAGCGGTATTTTTTTGTCAGTGGAATCTGACTTTGAAGAGAGTACAGATAAGCTTCAGTTTCAATTCAGTTACCTGTCAGTACGGGCTGTCTGACAGCAAGGTAAAGGGGTGAAAATATTCTAAATGTAACATACACTTAGACGGATGATTATTCTTTTAGGTGGGACTTTCTTTTAGGCAGCTAAAAATACATTTGGTTGCTGACCCCTCTACAGCAGCACATGGTTTAGATTCCGTGGTGCTTCTCTAAACAGGAAGTGAGCCAACTGCCATCTACTGTAGGTAATACACTGACTATGGATAAGTACCTCATACAGCCACACTTCAAAAAAAATCTAAACTATCCCTTTAACCCGTCAGCAACATGCTCAGGCTCTGAACTGAATCCTGACCTCTGTGCCTAACTCATATCAGCCACCTGCTCTTGTGACAAATTGTAGAAATCACTCTGCAAGCAGGTGATTCAGGAGCTACAATAATGAAGACATTTAACAATTTTCTGAGCCACATTTCCACAAGACATACATGTTTGAGTGTTGCTTTTCCTTCTTAAGAATACCTGACGATACAGTTTTACCTTGTCTCTATTTAAGCCTGTGATGCGTTAACTGCAGACACCCACAGGGTGTAATTAGCTCACTGCCTCCGCTTTGGCCTTTCAGAATCAGCAGTCGCTTGACAGTAACACACACACACACGCACACACACACACGCACACACACACACGCACACACACACACACACACACACACACACACACACACACACACACACACACACGCACACCTTTTCATCTAGTCTCCATACCGGATGTTGGAAGTTTACAGATGGTCATGGGGACAGATAAAAGTCACAGTGATAGAGGGAGGGAGGGAGAGAGTGTCTATGTCAAGAAGGTGACGGGGAAAAAAGATCACAAAACTGATTAAAAAACCAAATGTTCCCCAGACACAGGTGCTCCTCTTTCTTTCCTCCATTCTTCCTCTTCAGGGTTTTTTTTTTGGGGGGGGGGAGTTATTTCTTTGTCCTCGTCACCAGTGCAAGTCGATGAGTATTTCAAACAGGCCATCTGTTGGAGACCGTCACTTTCTTCCTCCTTTTTTACTATAATTGTCTTCTTGTTACTTTCAACAACTAAACATTAATCCCGCTCCAAGTGGCAAACGTCTGAGATTTTTGTCTTTATTTATTTATTTTTTTTTACCAGGCATATATTATTCAGCACGCTAATTATGTTCATGTTCACATTGTTCTGTGTCCATATCTTTGTATTCTGTGATGCATGTGGAATGTCGGCTTGTTTCATTAGGGGGCTAATTAGAAACTCGTCGCCTTTCAAGTCCTCTTAGAACACCACAGAGTCAGAGTAAATAGAAAGGGAAAAACCTCTGTTCATCAGTCACGCACACTTTGTCTCTCACTCTTTCTCTTTTGCTCTCCGCACTCACTGCTGTTCTTTATGTCGTCCTGTTAATCACTTATTTAGTTTTAACTTTGTTCTCTTGTCTGTCTTTGCCCGTGTGGCCGTAATTATTTGGCTTTCTCCCGCCGTCCTTGGTTCTCAGCCAGTTTTTTCTTTTCTCCACTCTCGTCGGAGTTGAGAGTTAGACAAGTGATGGTCGGGTGAAGAGACACTTCCTGAGTTTGAGGAAAAGACTTGCTCATCTGTGGCGTCTGTGTGAATTAATGAAAAGGATTTGGCTTTTTCTCAAGATAGTTTTTTTCCCCCTTTAATTGGTCACTGTTGTGTACATCCTCTTAATATCAAGTTTATTTCCAGTTAATTCAGCCTGCCAAATGTGCTGGAAAAATCAAACCTCATAAAGTAATCTGTCTGGGATGATATTCTTATCACCTGATTGGATACTGTCACCATATTTGGGTGCCAATTCTACAAGTATTGCATTTCAATATTAGAATTTATTGCAATTTCTGTTCTCTATATAAACACTGAACCATGGGAAAAAGTTAAATCATACACTTCCAGAGACTGTACTGTCCAAAAACAATGAACATCACGTCTTTCTTTTATTTCAGCAGCATGCAGCAGTATGCAGCATAAAAAAAAGTGGTAAATAATCTAATAATTTATAAAAAACTTTTATTCCAGTTAAGCACTTTGTGACCTTGCTCTGAAAGGTTCTATTTAAAATAAACTTAAATTTTACTTACTTGTACTTGTATGTTGCATGTACAAAAATACTCAAAAAATACTATTTGAAGTAAAGTTAAACTGCTATAATTATTTTATCTTTTTAATAGGAGCTAGGAGAGTAGTCGCTACGGGGAGGGCACGCAAAAGCTTTGGAAACTGACTTGATAGCAGCTGTACCATCTTTAAACTCTAGTGCCGAGGTGCACAGCGGGCTGAGTCTAATTTATGTCCTGGCAGTAACAGAAAGTTTGCTGATCCAGCGGGGAGTTTGCGCTTGGCAGTCTAAATTTGACTTGCTTGTGGAGCAGCTGAAGGTCCGTGTCCTTGGAGTGTCCGCCATTGTCTGCTTGCTCGCTTTGGCTTTATGTCTCCAAACCAGTGACATCCGTGGCTGGAAGCATTTTGTTTTCAGGTCGCCCATCCGTCCCACTCTCGTGACTTGTTCTTCTCATTCTTGTGAACGTGATACCTCAAGAACACCTCAAGGGAATTTCTTCAGATTTAGCACAAATGGCCACTTGTACTCATTAATGAATTGAATTTGATTTTGGTAGCTAAAGGTCAAGGTCACTGTGACCTTGCATCCGTCTCATTCTCATGAACCTGATACCTCAAGAAGCCTACATGGAATTTTTTTTAAATTTGGCCCATATGTCAACTTGGATGAAGAATTAACTAATTAGAAGTTGGTGAATGAAGGTCAAGGTCACTGTGACCTCACAGGAACATGGTTTTGGCCATAACTCCAGAATTCATACAGTAATTATGACAAAATTTCACACAAATGTCTAATAGGTAAAAATGATTAAGTGATGGCATTTTACATCCAAAGGTCAACTTCCCTGTGACATCATCTCTGTCCATTACTCAACAGTGTAACTCAGTAACAGAAGGGAAGACATTCAGTTGGATACTGAATTACTGACACTAATCCTAGGTGCCCACCTTGAAACTGTGGTTTGTGCAGATCAGGGGTGTCAAACATACAGCCCGTGGGCCAGAACCGGCCTGCCAAAGGGTCCAATCCAGCCCTCTAGATGACTTAACACACCTAATGTTGATGCACTTGTGAAGGCTGAGAGGTTTCAGGAGCAATTTAAACAGTGAGCAGACACTTCATGTAAAATTCTGCCTCAGAGGGTTTTCCACCCTGACCAGAATACAGCTCTCTAATGTGTTTCACAATGTACTTCTTAACACTAAAACATGGACAATTTTGAAGGGGTTGTTTTTTTATAGGTTATGAAGCAGTGTTTTTATTGGTCCGGCCCACTTGAGATCAAACTGGGCTGTATGTGGCCCCTGAACTAAAATGAGTTTGACACCCCCGGTAAAGATCTTCTGTGCTGCCATGAAGATGTACGTGAAGCATCCACACTGAAGAAGGTCGCATCATTGCAGCAACATCCATATTTGAAGCATTGTCTGCTGTCATGGCAACACATGAGTCTGGACAGATATTGATGTAAACTACAACTTGACTGAATCATGGAGGTATATAACTGCAAGGCGGTAATTCTAGTTTTTCTTGAAACAGATACACCATCACATTAGTTGTAAATTACCACAGTAAAAGCAACAACTTCCCTCCACCTCCACATTTGAATTATATTGATTCAGGCATTAAAAAAAAAAATCGATTTAAAAAAAAAAATCATTAAAAGAAAAATCAGGATACTTATGTGAATCATTTTTTTCCCACCGCGACACAGTAAAGGTTGTAGCTTTTGTCATTAGCACTAATGCACTAAAGTTATTTGCTACAAGGCAAAAATAGGTCCAAATTTCTGTAGTTTATTGCGAAGAGGCCTCTGTGCAATTTTCACAGCTGTAGCATGTCCTGATAGATCCCCTCTGTCCCCTCCCTGTCTCCCCCGGCCCACTCATCCTCTCCTGCTCCTCTCCCGCGATCACAACAGACACATCCTCCAACACCTTTTCCCCAGGGAAATAAGCAGGGAATCATTTACTCATCTCCTTTTCCTCTTGTGCCCTCTGTCTTCATCTCGTCTCTCCTCTCTCTCCTACTCTCTGTCGGTCTCACTCTCTCAATTATTCTGTCGCTGCTGCAGGTACAGAGCCAGAGTGGAGAAAGTTGAGTCACCAGCAAAGGTTCATGTCTTCTACATCGACTACGGCAATGTGAGTAACTGTGACCCTGAATTTGACTGTGTGATAAAAGTGTTGTCATCATTAAAACATAGTTCTATTGTGCGGGGCTGCGAACGCTGAGAAAGTTTTGTCAGGGCCAAACCCACAGCCAGAGGGAGTCTAGTATCTGAGGAGGGATTTCTTTTCTATTTCTTGCATCTATTCAGACACCAGTTGTTTGCTTATCTGTGCATTCAAAGCAGCCCGGCAGCCTTTATGTATCCTTTCAGCTGCAGTTTTTAGGACAAATATGATGCAGGCTGGTTTGTTTTCACTTTATTGTTTTTGACTGAAGCAAAGAGTGCAACTGAGTGTATCGTTTTTATTCCTTTTCATGACAATGACAAAAGCAGAACTCCCCCTCTCTCTGGATCTCTTTTTTTAAACTACTGCGATGACGAAGGCACTCTATCCATCTGAGTGCGTTACTGTGTGTGTGTGTGTGTGTGTGTGTGTGTGTGTGTGTGTGTGTGTGTGTGTGTGTTTTCTACCCACGTGTGTACACATGCTTGCATCACCAAGTGGCTCATGCAGCCAACCCCCAGCCTGCGGGAGATTTCCCATGATGCAGTGAAGCGGCACAGTGTGTGACTGACCTCAGAGTGGGGGACAGCTCGAGGTTTGGCTAGCAGACGCGATGCGTCCTGGCATGTTGCTGAAAGTGTGATTCTCCGAGGCCGACCTGGCACACAAAAAAAAAACTGAGCTGATATCTATCTACCTCATTCTGTGTAGTTTTGCGTCATTGAAGGTTGAGTCATTCTGGCCTTGACTTCATGCCTCTGTGTCATGAGCTGTTAGTGGGTAATATTGCCACCTGTCTCAGGTATAGGTCAGTCCCTGAATTATTATGTGATCATTAACAAACACAGCAGAGCACTTTTGTCTTTCATTTTTAAGGCCCACATTTACGATGCTGTCAAAATCTAATATGGCGTTGATAAATCTTAACGTCCTAATCCACAATAAACGTTCAAGGCATTCTCTGTCTAGACTCTACAGTCCAATGAACACATTAACCTAAGATATGGGGGTCATTAAATTAACTCCCCACTTCTAACGGCTGTATTTGTCTGACTTTCCCCTGGCATGTTCTCCCTTTAGGTAGTCTGCGGTGATCAGTGATTGGTCATTGCTCACAGTGGTTAATACCTGTCAAGATGTGTCAACTTAATTGCTTCTTTATGCTTCATATCAGTCAAATGTAGTACTTGCTTTTCAAATATAGCAATGTGCATTTTTTTAAAGTTTGGGAAGCGAGCCAAACTGGAGTGCTAACCTTGCCATCAGCTCTGAAGATGAAAATACTTTTAGGACTGTGAGCATCAATATAGAGAGTCAAAGTTCCTCCCCTTGCGGAGGACAACTATAAGACCTTATTTCAGAAAAAAATTATGCCTTGAATTATACATATGGTGTTTGTCAATTTAAAAGGTCAAGAAAGTCAGTTTGTCGTAAAACTGCTGAAATATAAGACTGTAAGAGTACGTACATAGAAAGACTGCACACCCTCTCTCGCTAAAGCATCGATTCATCTGTGTTTCGTATCAGGATTCACTCACACAAACTTATTTGTTCTTTTGCTTCTCAGGAAGGTAATTATAGTTAACTAAAACTAAACTAAAAACAAAAACGAGGTGTGAAAAAACATTTTAGTTCACTGAAATAAAACAAAAAACTAGACTTAAGGGAAAAACAAAAACTAACTGAATTCTAGTTTCCTGACAGAACGTATATAAATAAAAGGATATTACAGAATGTCTTTAGTTTTAATTTGTCAAGACAAGGCATTAGTGCATATGTTTATTGAGACCGGGATGTCTCCATGACTGTGACTTAGTTGTCTAGACTATTGCCTGTTACTCATTCTGAACTTCCTGAGTCTTGCCCCTGACAAATACCCCCATTATTATTATTAAAAAGAAAAAAACAAACACCTAATACTATAACTACTAAAATCTATATTAAAACTCATTAAAAAGAAAACTAAACTGAATTGAAATCTAACTTTGGAAACTAACTTTCAGTCAGGAACACTTTAGTGAAAGAAAACTTTATTTCCATTTGCAGTATTATATTTGGCGGTATGGCTCTGTTCTGGGGCCTCTCTGCCTTTTCCTTGGCCTATGCAGAAAGCCCTACCACATGCCTATGTGAAAAGCCTAGGGCAGAGAGAGTACACCTCTCTGCCCTTCCACGTGCAAACAAGGAAAGTTTGAGGCAGAGAGCGCAAACCTCTCTGCCTTTCCACGTGCCTACATGGAAAGCTTAAGGCAGGGAAAGCAGCAGCAAAGACCCCCCAGGAACAGAACAGGGCAGCATCAATGACAAACAGAAATGACACTGATAAGTCAGACACAGCATGAAAAGGAGGAGCTGGGGTGGAGGCGGGTTGAATAGCAGCTTGCAGAGGAAGCAGCAACAGTAGGCAGGCCAGAGCAGTTTAAATAGGGCGCCCTGAATGAGATTCACCGGTTGGTTGCATGGTAAGGAATCGTGATCAATCAGCTGCTCCATCAGTTGATTGGGCTGTTTGAGATCAGCTGATGTAGCTGGGATGTGAGTTGAGCTTGACATCGTGTCCTGCCTGAACTAATACTATGGTCAATGAAACTAAACTGATTTAAAACACAAACATTTGAGTGTGTACATGGAAGTTTGCGTTGGTGACATATGTTGTGTGAGACGAGAGATTAAATTTGCTGAGCTGTTTCACACAAAACTAAATGGTACTACGACAAACTGAGACTTGCTGGACTTGCAAAATTATCCATTAAATTGACAGACATCTTACATGTCATCTAAGGCACAATTGAAACAGGATCAAAGATGTATTTGTCTCTCACCATTAACTGTGGTACCTGCTTTTTCTAAAATAAGATATTATGAGGGGCGCTAAAAGGGGAGTGGTTTCTCCTCTTTATAGAAATGGGAACCCATGTTGACTACTGTGTTGTACTGTAGCTCCACAAGTCTTAAAAACAAAGAGCAGATGTGTTTTTATCAGGCTGTAAATGCAGGTAAACACGTGCAATGCTCATGAAATCATAAAATGTGATGCCTGTAATCACTGTGCAATTAAACCTTGAGTTGATGTCCCTCTAAAGCACTTTTCAGAAAATGTGACTTTGTTCGCTTGTTTTCCCAAAAATGGATATCAAGCGTTATTGTATTCAAATGTGCGCTGGCAAGCAGTGTTTCCTTTTTCACTGATTTTAGTGTGTTTTCTGATCTGACAAGTCTGCCTACCAACTTGACGTCTATTGTCGTCTTTACTTGTAGCTTGTAGCTGAGCTAGAGAGCAGATGGAGCTTAGTGAAAGGGGCCTCAGTACTGCTGTAGAAACAGCTGTGAAATGATTGGTAAGGTGACATATACAAGCATGCAGCCCTTAAGCTACAAAATGGCATCTGTCCATCTTTCACAGTTGTAGACTATCATCGTTAAAGTGACACGCAGATTTCAGAATTGATTCAGAATCATGGAAAAAAAAAAATAGAAATACATTAGAGCAGAGTGGATTTACAGCCTGAGTGCGTGCCGGGTTTGTTTGAGGCTGTCACTTATGGAGGTATTTGATTTGAGAGATGCACTCTGTAGTGTAGATAAAGTGAAGTTTCAGTTTTATGTTTTATGAATCTGTATCATAACTGAACAAGCCAGACATTTCCCTCTAAATGTCCTTTGGCTTCCTTTTGTGTAGCCGTAGGAGATGGATGTCTCTGTCATGCCTGTTCAGACATACTCATCTTTACAGATTCGTGCTGAAGTGTTGTCGAGCTCCACTTCTCAAATCCTAAAGCTCATAAACCAAATCATTTCCCAAGAGTAAATATTCTTGAACCTTTACCCAGACTAACATTGCAGCTCCAATGTTTTGACTTGATAATTCAGAAAAACAAACGCCACTGTGTGTGTACTTACGATTGCATCAGTGATCACCATGAAAACTGTCATGAAAACTGTTTCTATACTGAGCCTGACTCCTGTCCTCCGTTCATCCTCCCTCAGAGAGAAGTTGTGTCGTCCACCCGTCTGGCTGCCATGCCCCCTGCCTTCGGCACCAGGACCCTGCCAGCACAGGCCACCGAGTATGCCTTCGCCTTCATCCAGGTCCCACAGGACGTAAGTGCTCGTCTGTGCACGCGTGCCGAGCAGAGATATGTGTTGCAGCCCTGAAAGCTTCAGAAATAACTTTGAGATATCAACTTCCTCAGTCTCATTTCCTGCCAGCTTTTGAAAGTTGACTTTTCTGGCAAGACATAAAATCTGTTTGAGCTCCACTTATCGCACGAGGTGATAAGTCCATAACTGACAGACGGGGTCGAGTTTTCATTCCGAGCAAGTGTTGGTGAAAATTAAGCTCATACATAATGCATGTGGAACAAGGAGACAGAGCAGTGACAAACGCCAGGCCATTGATTACCTTGGTTGCAAAAAAAACATGGAATAATTGACATAGTAGCAGAGAAAATTAATGTTTTATGAAGAGTTTGATAGTGTATACGATAGTCCCGCTCATCCTATACTGTACATAGACAAACCATCCAGGTGCTTAATGCCGGTGTGTTTGTGCATATAAATGTCCATCTGATAGCCCAACAGCAGTTACTGTTTTTTTTGTGCAGCCCTAATCTTCTTGTTTACATCCGAGTGTGTTTACTCAACCTCCAGTGTGTGTGTGTGTGTGTGTGTGTGTGTGTGTGTGCGCGCGCTTCTCTCTGCATGTAAGCTACGGCGTTTTGTGTGTGTCAGGGGGTCAACTCATTGGCATCCTCCTGAGCAGGCAGCATCCTGAATAGTTTGAGCAGATACAAACATGATTTTGGTATATGCGTGATTGGCACAGCACTAAGCTCTGTCTTTAATTGGTTGTGTGTGTGTGTGTGTGTGTGTGTGTGTGTGTGTGTGTGCATCCAAGTGTGTTAAGGGTATTTGTTCCACTTAGCCTAGATAAGGTGCAGAGCATTTGTAATGTCATATGTTCCTAGAATTAATGACTGCCTCTCACACATGGTCACATGGACACATTTGTTTGCTGCTATTAAGTGTTATTTATCTACACAGTTGCCAGTTTATTAGATACATCTAGCTAAAGTTAATGCCATCTAATACAACAATACAGCAATACATGCTAGGTCATAGTGTTCAGTTTTTGGAGACGTGTCGATTGAGTTGGCAACATTTTTACTGAGCTGTGTGTGTTGAAGAACAATCAAGGACATAACATCTCTTCACCCCAAAATCCAAAACACATTTTTCCTCTTACCTGTAGTGCTGTTTATCAATTTAGATTGTTTTGGTGTGAGTTGTCGAGTGTTACAGGTATCAGCTGTAGAGATGCCTGCCATCTCTTGAATATAATGGAACTAGATGGCACTCGGCTTGTGGTGCTCAAAACGGCAAACAAAAAACAAAATAAAAACATTTGAAATACTCTTGTGCATCTGCTCATAGACAACATTCTTGTGTTTATGACAGCAGGATATTGAAACAGTAATAGTGTCCTCCTTGGCTGAGCTGTAACATAAGCTAGAGAGTAGATGCACTCTTCCTTCTGCGTGATGATACGGTTGGTGGGTGGAAAAAGAAAATAGTTCCCTACATGAAACTACTCACAACAAGGTCTCTGGATTATCTTGAGTAATTGGGTCATGGTTTCTGGAAAGATACATTACTGTTGAGGTTTTCAAGTGTATTCTTTGGGGCTTTGAGCACCACAAGCTGAGTGCGATCTAGATCCATTATATCGGAGAGATGTCAGACATCTCTACGGATGACATCTCCAACACTCTGCAACTCAGACCAAAACAATCTAGAGAGATAAATAGCACTACAGGTAAGAGGAATATTATGTATTACTGCATTTTTAAAATCTAACTTTACATTTTACACGGGCTGCCCCGACTAAGAATTTTCCTACTCAGCCAATAGTCGTCATTTAGGGCCACTGGTCGACTAGTCGCCCACATTTTTACGATAAAATTTAATTATTTGATTATATATTTTGGGCGGGGCAACACAATGGTTTGAGTTGAAGGTGTAAAATTGTTAACACTGTGCTACATTACAGAGAAATACAAAACCGTACTAATGAACCTTCATTAATATAGGCCTATATTTTATCTACAAGTGCACGTCACACACTGAGCGAGCCGCCTGTTAATGACGCTGTCGGCTAATGGGCATGTAGCTACTTCCATGTTTCAGATGATACGTCATGTTTGTAGTCGACCAGTGAAGATGAGTTTACATATCACCTTGGGTTCGTCCTTCACCTTCTCAAAATGATCCCACACTTTGGATTTCCTGCCCGACATGTTACTAACTACCCTGTGGAATAACCGCAGGTACCAGCCCTGGAAATTAACCTGACTCCTGTCTGACTGCTGAGTGTGGCCACTTCTTGTGTCTGTCCTTTCAAATTAAATTCCCACATGGTCCAGTCATATTGGTTTTGATTTATTTTGACAAGGGGCAACTCCTAATAGAATTTCATGGTTGTTTTCTTTCTACGACTAAGCGACCAATGAAATCTTGCCAACTATTGACCCTCTTGGTCGACTAACGTTTGGTCAACTATTAGAGGGCAGCCTTACATTTTAATACTCTTACTTTTGAAGAATTCCACTGAAATACTTGACTATTTTTTCAACAAATCATGGACCCATTGGCCTCTTGTTGGACATGTGTATCAAAGCTTTACACAGTCACACACTGAAAGCTGTGTGAGTGTGAGAGAGAGCTGGTAGTGCCTGCGTGCATGCTGTCACCTGTCTCATGACTCAGTGTCTCCTGAAGGATGAAGTGGCCCATCTGTTGGTCCAGCCCAGGGGACAAAGGCATCACCTACACTTTACAGCCCCCAGACACACACACACACACACACACATACACACACACACAAAGCTTTACCACATGTTGGAGGCTGACACGCACCTTACACCTCTCCCTCTCACTCTTCCTCTGTCACTCTGCATCAGTCTAACCTTTTTTCCCTCTTCTTTCTATTTTCTCTGGGTTTTCCTTTCATGTGCTTGCCGTCTGCTTTATCTTTTTACTGTGTCGCTCACACTGACAGCACGTTGCCCCACTTCTGCTGCACCTTTGCTGCTGCACATAGGAAAGGTTGTTGCCTTTGTCTCACAGCCCTGCCACCTGATGCCCTGCACAACATGTCTGGCTTCACAAGTTATATAGCTTTAGTCTTAAAATCTTTATTTTCTCAACACCAAATCCTTCCAGTGGGACGAGATCATGCTGCTGCTTTCCAGTGCAGTTTCATAAAATGCTCCATTGTTCCAATATCCTCAAAAAATGGCAGAATGTAGGGTGCACTGTCACTGTTTTGCTGTTCTGTAAGAAAAATAACATCCTCTTACCTGAAATGTGTTTGTAACTTGACAAAGTAAGAGGCACAATGCACACGTTATCTCCATGACATCTGACTGCGGAGGTTACCTCTATCAGAGCAACAACTGCTCCCACATTTTTACACTATTTATGCCAATTTTACTATGGATGTTGAGAACTTTCAGATACCAGCACTCAGGACACACTGCCATCCCTTTATTATGCCCTGCCGTTAGCTAATTAAAAAAAGTAGTTAATGCCAAGAGTGCACTCTGTAAAAAAGATGAATAAGATAAATTCTGCAAAGTGCCAAACACAAAAAGTCAGACCACACAGTAGCCACTCTCTAATGTGAGTGGATTGTATTCAACTGAAATTAAAATGTGACTTGAGGTTTTGCATCTTTTCAAACCAATTCTATTATTAATTTGGACAACTTAAAATGCACCACCATCTACCTTTTCTCATTAACAGTCCTGCATTAAAATCCACTTTCAGTTAAGAGGCTACTTGTTGATTTTTTGGCTAAAATTGCAAAGTAAAGGTTACTGAAGAAGGCTGAACTAACCTTTTGACACTACACAGCTACGCCTCCATTTTTATAGTAATAAAAAATGTATTACCTCCGCAAAGGAGGTTATATTTTCATTTTAATTTGTTTTCTCTTTGGCAGCAGGAACTCTTTCCTAAAGAAAGTAGCTAGCATTTGCTTCAGAAGTTGCTATGAGTCACCAAAGGACACCATGGGATCATTTGCATATTGGTGACACCATTGTGTATTCATCTTTGATAATGGAAGCATTTTACAACTTAACTGAATTAGATTCAGGGGGAAAAAAAAACAAAAAAAAAAAACAAAAAAAAACAAAACTTACAAAACATTAAAATGTTGGAGCCGATCAGAGTCACGTGGCAGATGCGCAAATTATTTTTCATTAGGCTTGACAGGGCATTCGGAACAAATGCCATACATCTTAAAATCCAGTAGATGGTAGTTAAGTCCAGCAGTGACAGAACTAGGGCTGTACGAATATTCTGCTATCTGTTCCATTTTTTCCCTAGAGAGTTTGAAAGTTTGTACAGGATTAAGGAAGACGTTCAGTGTAATAGTGACATTCATGTAGTATAGTAAACAAGCTAACTACACTAATGACTGGTAGAAATGTGCAACAAGATATTTTGCCAATACTGGATCTCAAACAAAAGACGAGACTGTGTCGTATTATGTTGCTGTGAGCTGTGACTTCGCCAATTCTATGCAGAAAGCAGAGGATAAAGTTATCCCAGAGCCTGATTGAGTAGCTGCCTCTGTGTCTGAGGCTGCCTGTACTAAGAAGCAGCATGAAAAGAAGAAGCACTCACTCTGCAGCTAAATCTGTGGCCTGAAACTTCCCTGAAAGTATACTGCGCACTGACTGACAAAAAAACAAAAACAAAAAATATCTTTTCAACCTGAAGGAATCTCAGTCAACTGAGGGATCACAGACTATGATTTAAATCTTCGAATTTCAGCAGGCAGCCCAAGACAAAACAGACAATAGTAGAAATATGATGACTCTGTATCACACACTCTATTCACAAGTACCAGTAATCCTCAGGGGTACCCTACACATGTAGCTGGGGGTGGGGGGTCTTTCCTTATCCACTGCGAGGGTCCAAGGACTAAAGGATTTTGAACTCAGTAAAGCCCTCTGAGGCAAATTGTGATTTCTGATATTGGGCTTATTAATAGAAATCAAATTGAATTGAATTAAATTGAACTTTTTTGCCAAAATAAGTTGTGGCTATGGAAACATAAATACACACATACCGTGCCACTAACTATACCCTCAGTCACATCCAAATGTGATTTGGCTTCCATAAATTCCACCAGAGACACAAAGGAAAAAAAGTTCCAACTTTACGCTTCACCAGAAGAAGCAGTATTATACATAGCAATTTAGAAGTTAATAATAAATGCACAGCTGAAATGAGGCACAACTATATTTTGACATAATTCTAATTGTTTTGGAAATACATCCAGACATAGTGGTTGTACTTGCAGAGTTGTGTATAACAGAAGACTGGACTATTGGTTTTGGCAGAGGTCTGTGCTCTACAAGTACCTCTCAAGTTTAAATATTATTTACCACATTTTATGTATTTTTTCTCGAGCATGACAAACTATCCTAAAGTCCCAAAGTTTGCAAATAACCCTGGGTCAGATACGTTACTATTTTATCAGTTCCTGTAGCAGCTGTTTTGTGTTAAGAGAATGTTTACACTGATGTATCTGTTGACTCTTCCTGTGGAATAGATTTTTCTTTCATAGGAAACTACTGTTATATTTCACCAAACAAAAAAAGGTTTGAAAATAGTGATTTGTAGCAGCACTGACACTGAGCTGTTGTATTGGCTCCGATGGAAAAACTCAAAGCCCAACTGCATATAAAAATTCTATCGATATACAGCAGGTAGAATTCAGATATTGAAGGCTGTTTTTAACACACTGAAGTGCTTTAACCAGGTCTGTTCTGCACATATGGTGGACAAGTGAGGGTCACAAGAAGGATCTCGTTAATATTGTATTACCCCCACACGAGCGTCAAAGAATTCTTGTTCTGTAAATCTCTCTCGCCGCGTTCCATTCTTATCTCTCCTCCTGTGTCTCTGTCACACACTAACTCTCCCTCTCGCCCTGAGCTCCCCTGCAGCGCCTGTGACAACTTGACCAGGGGGAGAGCGGGGGACAAAAAAGGCCCTTAGTTTTGTGCCTTGAACAAGCTTCCCTGCCCACACACGCTCACACACACATACACCAGACACGCACATACCCAAGGGCGGCTAGCTCGAAGGGGGTTGCCATGGAGACAAGACCAGGGCGAGAAAGAAGGGAAGCGAAGAGATGGATGGTGTAGGGGAGGGATGGATGATGGCCAGGGACTGATTTTTTTTGTTTTGTTTTGTTTTTAAGTGTCTTCCTGCCTCTGAAGATGCAGCTCCCTTGTTTTTCTCGCTTTCGCGCAGACTGTTGGAGGACGTGAGGTCAGGAACGCACTGCAGCTGTTCTACCTCCTTCTCCACCATGTGTTCAATCAAATGCTGGCCTTTCACATCTGAGAAGGTTAGGAATAAGAGAGAGCGAGGTAACTAACTGAAGAATGAGAAGAAAAGAGAAGAAAGGGACAGGATGAGGAGGAGGAGGAGGAGGAGGGGGGTGGGTGAGAATCAGACCATTATATAGTTCAGCCAAACTGAAATCTCTTGAACTGGTTGAGTAGATAATTGCTGTGCTACATGACTGACTATGTGAGTGATCATGTAATTGTAATTGATCGGAGGATTGTGTGTACGTATGCGTCGTTACTGACCACATTACCAAGCATGTGCGGACAGGTTTTTCCCACTTTCCTAACAGTTTTTCCCCTCTAAGAGGAAACACATTTCACAGTTATGTTCATGCATATGCAGGTTGTTTTTACCAGCATCTGCATAGCGTGTATTTGTGTGTTTGCATATCTGTTCAGAAGCCATCAGTGATAACATACTAATTATCCCTTTCACCTTTTTTTTCTCACTATCTCCCTCCCTTCCCTTTTCTCCATCTCTTCCATTATCTCCTCTGATCCCACTATCCATTCCCGTCCTTCTCTCACCTTCTCTTTCTTCCTAATCCCATCCCTTATCATCCCTTTACTACTTCAGGAGGACGCCCGTGCGGACGTGGTGGACTGCATTGTGCGGGACATCCAGAACAGCCAGTGCCTGTTGAACGTGGAGTACTCGGGTGCCAACTGCCCACATGTCACAATACAGTTCGGGGACACCAAGGATGATGTGGGTCTCGGCCTGGTCAAGGAGGGCTTGGTCATGGTGGACGTCCGCAAGGAGAAACACCTGCAGAAGATGGTGAGTTGGTTTTTCTCGCGATGACAGGGCAGTTGTAGATAAAGTGATTTGTAGTCTTTAATTTACAATCGGAAGACAGAAAACTAAATTGGAGGCTGATATGTCGGCCACTTGAGCGGTTTGTCTCTGACGGGATTGGTTGTTTTTACATTTAGGCAACAAGTAACTTTCTCTTTCCAAGTTAATGACACTTTCTGGTCTCACTGGGGCAGTCATGGTTGATAATATATTAGTAAAGATTGCGGTCAGGGTTTTTACACGTTCCTGTAATCCTCCAAAATTTGTGAAATTGACTGAAAAAAACTCAAAGCCTTGAAAGTTTTTTAAAACAGACATGGGTCATTGCTTCAATTTATATATATTTTTGCAAGAATATAAATTAAAGTTCTTTCGACATTTCTTTATTAATTGCTAGCAAACAGGCTATGTTCCGCTGTCTGCAGTTGCATCATTGTTTCATGTGCCTCCTCCTTTCAGCATCATGGTCTGTAGTCAGTAATAATCATCTTCAGTCTCCAGAATGTGTGGCTTCATCCCTTTTCGTTTAGACCAGATTGTGTTAGCTTCAATTTATGCCTTGTTGACATCCAGAAAATAGCCTTCCATCGTGCACTGTAGTCCTTGTTGTAAGCTTCTTGAAGTGGCACCCGGCTAAAAGGGAACGCCATGTTTCTTTTTGTCATACTTGTCCAACTTAGCGATGTAACTAAGGGAGGCGGGACTTTGGGTTGACCCCTCTGCGCCTGCACCAGCAATAACCGGAAGGCATTATGTTTTTGAGTTGTTTGTCCATCCCATCCTTGCGAACGTGAGAACAGCTTGAGGGAATTTGTTCAAGTTTGGCACAAAGGTTAATTTGGACTCAACAATGAAGATTTTGTTTAGATTTTGTTGGTCATAGGTCAAAGGTCAAGGTCTATATGACCTCATCTGTCTCATTCTTGTAAATGTGATATCTCAAGAATATCTTGAGGGTTTTCTTCAAATTTGGCACAAACGTTCACTTGGACTCAATGATGAACTGATTAGATTTTGGTGGTCAACGGACAAGGTCACTATAACCTTGTCTATCTCATTCTTGTGAATATGATTTCTCAAGACCTTATAGTAATTTCTTGAAATTTCACACAAACATCCACTTGGACTTAAGAATGAGCTGATAAGAATTTTGTGCTTGAAGTTCAAGGTCAGTGTGACCTCACTAAATATGTTTTTGGCCATAACTTAAGAATTCACATACTAATCATAACAAAACTTCACACAGATGTCTAATAGGATGAAAATAATGAAGTGATGGCATTTAATATCCAAAAGGTCAGCTTCACTGTGACATCGTAATGTTCTGCATAAAACACTCCTTTGGCCATAACTCAGTGTCACATCTCAGGGACAGAAGTTGAAACATTTGGTCAGATACTGAATTGGTGACTCTAATCTGGGGTGTCCACCTTTAAGCTGTGTTGACTGTACAGGTCTCCTGTGCTGTTGTGTGTAAAGCATCCACATTTTCACAGACATGGATGTTAACTATTTGAGACTGTGACTGGTGCACGGAGGCATACAACCGCAGGGCGGTAATTCTAGTTTATTGTTGTCTGTGAGCTTCTGTAAAGCCTGCTAGTTCTCATAATAAAAATTCTCAGTGTTGTGACATTAGCTGATCTTGATCTGTGTCTCAAACTATGCCATGTTGGGTTGTTTAATTTTGAGGTACATGGGCCTGGAAAGTCCTTAAAAAGCCCTTTGAATTAGATGTTTCAGAAGGTGTTGGCACCCTGTGTGGTACAGATTTGCCTTTGTGTTTAGGGAGAACCCACACAGTGTTGACTGACAGTGATTTGTTTTTTGTGCTTAGCATGAGATGTGGGCGGTGGTTGTACTTTCAGGTGCATTAAAGGTCGGGGGATACTTGCGTGAAATAATTAAATTATTGAACAGGTCAGTTGTTGTTTTAGATTCATTATGTCAGTTCCTCTAAATTTTCTACTGATTACCCTCCTCTGACTGCAGATCATCTGTCTTTCAAAATATGACTTATATCTCTCTACCTTCTTGTTATTCAGTGACTCACAGTGCTGTTGAAATGCACAGTATGGATCAATATTTGTGTCAGCGCTGTTCTAAATAGACAATGCTATGTGCAGATCAAAGGGAAGCAGGTGTTACTTATTTTCAAGCGCACAGTAAATGTTGAGCATTCTCAGCAGAAAATTGGCCCCCTATGTATTATTTAATGTTAAACGCTCCATCTGCTGCCTATGGCTTTCTAACAGTCCAATAATTACCACATTTCCATGCTAACATGCATCCACCCAGTCCTTTTCATCTCAGAGTTTGTCATGTATAGATTTTTTGTTGTAAATGAAAGAGAGTATCACAGTAAATGCCTGTAGGTTTTATTTTTTTAATGTACACACTATGGCACAAGAGACACAATTCCTCTCCTCACTTGTCAATCCACAGCCATACAATGAACACTTAAACACCTCTACAATTTGCCTCAAATGGCAGCCATTTTGTCAAACCATGAAGCGTTGCTCATTTACTTTTCGTCTCATTATGCTAATTTGCCCAGCAGACTCGAAGCCACTCTGTACATGAAAGATAAAGAAAAATGGAGGATATTTATTCCTGCTGTAATTACCGATTCCGCACAACCTCAATATTAGTCACTCTGCCATTTATTTAAAACAGAATTGAAAAACACGTCCAGGAGGGTGAAATTGTTTATGAACATAATCAAAATGTACATTCATATAAATTAGAGGCTGGTTTATAAAGCCTTTCTTCCATGTGATGCAGTTAATAACTCATTGTTGTACACAGTCAACAGCAATGATAAAAGCACTTCCTGCCTCTTAGTCAGTCAATAAAGCACTGCGCATCATTGTAAGAGCGTTTTGACCTCTGACCTCTAAAGAGTAGCCAGGAACCATAATGCAGTCTCTGGGTAATGGACCCTATAGACAGAGGACAGTGATTAAAACCCTTCAGCCACACGACTAATAGGCTTATAGACTGCACAGATTTAGGCTTTGTTGTATCAAATGGTTTCTCTTTAGTATTCAACAGCTGCATCTCCAGTGTTTGCCTCTTGCTTGCTGGCTACTGATGAATATTTTCATTGGAGAAAGCTTAACAAGCAGCAGTGTTGCCAATGTGCTTACAAGCAAGTGTTAAAGTAAATCTCTACAACATTTCTTGTTGATAATTCCGCCCATCAAGGCTGCTTCCAAACTGAAAGCTGAAACAAGCTGAAGTGTGATTAGGCCACTTTTCAAGCGTCTACAATGAGTAAATGTGCTTTTGATTTATTCGATAAACTGCAGTTCTGCTGTATGCCGTAGCCCAACTACAAGTTGTTTATCAGAGCCGAGGCATGTAACAGTGTCTGTTATATCGGACTTAATATCTAATGTGATTTTGGGATGACCAGTGATGTTGTTTTAGTGTCTCATTTTCTGGTCTTCAAGGCTCTATGAGAGATGATAAAACTGTTTGATGTAATGTTCTTGGGCTTAAACAGTTTGTTGATTATCAACTCATTTGACTGATGAAAATATTCTGCCACTATACTGACAGTTAATTAATAGTCTGTCATTTTTCAAGCTAAATTCCAAAATGATCTCATTACGGCTTTTCAAATTTTTAGAGGATTTGCTCGTGTATGTGCTTTGTCTTGTAAATTCAAAGTAGTTAAGGTATTGGACTTTTTGTCATAAGACGAGACATTTAAAGACGTCCCTTGGACTCTAGGAAATTAAACATTGTGTAATTTTTTAGCTATGAAATGTCAAAATAATTAGGTAATTGTGGAAGTAGTCAAGTGTATCTTTGCTGCAGCCCTGCCACACCTCATTGTCCTGCCACTCACTCGCTCAACTAGTATCTCAGCTAACACTGGCTTTGTGGGCTTCAGTTAAACATGCCCCATCTCTGCGATTATCTCAACTAACATTTGCTAGCCGGTTGGATTGGTTAAGTTTAGGCAAGAGGAGTGAGATTGGTTAGAGTTGGGGTAAGAATTTCATCCAGCCAACTCCAGCCTCTGCTAGCATCTCAGCTAAAATTAGCTAGCCACAGCGGCACTGTTTTTATCGTACGGCCACACACTTCATGGCCACAAGCTAAGGTTAACACTAGAGAGAGAGAAAAGAGAAGAGAGACGTTGACTAAATAACCCAGTATCGAGTACTATCGCAATGTTTCTAGTGACACTATACCTGCTCTGCATAATTGTTGTGCCAGGGGTCTGATCCCGCACCGTCCTGACTCCCTGTCAGATCAGCAAACTTTCTGTTGCTGCCATTACACAAGTTAGACACAGTGCTGAAGGACCATCTCTAGAGCCCATAATTCCCGGCAAACGGCCAGTTTAATGTCAGCCACGTTGGTACCATCTTGACCAACCATGTTGTATTTAACAGAATTGGCAGTTCATTGTGCTGAGATGCAACTATAAGCCCCATTGTTCGCATTATGGGTCTCAAATGAAGCATCTGTATCACTTTAAGGGTACTGGTATTGTAATTTTTTTAAAAATACCCAGGGAGGATCGTAAGGAGTGGGAGGCAGGTAACGAGGTGTGGCGTGTCCACCGATGAACCCTTCTCAACATTATGGAACAGTGATTTTGATTGCAGCCTAAGAATATAATAGAATATATAATAGAATATGCCTTTATTGTCATTGTATAAGTACTTCAACGAAATTACAGGGGGCACATCACAGTGGCATCACAATATACACACATACACACAAGCAGGACAGTTAAAGTCTTTTCCTTAAAAATCAGAATTGTTGTGATTATTTAATTCTTTCAGTTTCCCCCAGCCACTTTTCATCCATCGTATTTGACCTAAAGTCATTTGTTTGCAAGGCTCATTTCGGGCCCAGAGATTCATGAGCGGCACTGCAGCTGCTGCTTGTGTGACAACAGAACACGTTATCTTGCAGGGGCAGCAGAGCCAAAAAACTGTTTCCAAGATACAACCTTTTGT